GCCGGGGGGGGGATCCCCTCCCGCCCCCCCTTTTTTGGGCCGCAGGGCCGAGAGGTTGCGCTGCACGTAGCCGTTGGTGCCGCTGCCCCGCGGCGTCGGCAGCCCGATGCCATTGTACATGGTAGGGCTGGGGTAGGCCGCCGTCAGGGCCCCCCAAAAATCCCTTTTATACAGCCCGGACAGCCCCCAAAAAATCCCTTTTATATAGCCCAAAATAAAAACCCCTTTTATACAGCCCAGACAGCCCCCAAAATGTCCCCCAAAATCCCTGATTTATAGCCCAGACAGCCCCCAAAATGTCCCCAAAAATCCCTTTTATATAGCCCAAAATGTCCCCAAAAAATCCCTTTTATATAGCCCAGACAGCCCCCAAAAAATCCCGTTCCTATAGCCCAGACACCCTCCAAAATGTCCCCCAAAAATCCCTTTTATATAGCCCAAAATGTCCCCAAAAATCCCTTTTATATAGCCCAGAATGTCCCCAAAATATCCCCTTCCTATAGCCCAGAATGTCCCCAAAATATCCCGTTCCTATAGCCCAAAATGTTCCCAAAAAATCTCTTTTATATAGCCCAGAATGTCCCCCAAAAATCCCTTTTATATAGCCCAGACAGCCTCCAAAATGTCCCCCAAAAATCCCTTTTATATAGCCCAAAATGTCCCCAAAAAATCCCTTTTATATAGCCCAAAACATCCCCAAATAATCCCTTTTATATAGCCCAGACAGCCCCCAAAATGTCCCCAAAAAATCACTTTTATACAGCCCAAACAACCCCCAAAAAATCCCGTTCCTATAGCCCAGACAGCCCCCAAAATGTCCCCAAAAAATCACTTTTATATAGCCCAGAATGTCCCCAAAATGTCCCCAAAAAATCACTTTTATATAGCCCAGAATGTCCCCAAAAATCCCTTTTATATAGCCCAGACAGCCCCCAAAATGTCCCCAAAAATCCCTTTTATATAGCCCAAAATGTCCCCAAAAATCCCATTCCTAAAGCCCAAACTATCCCTAAAATGTCCCCAAAAAATCCCGTTCCTATAGCCCAGAATGTCCCCAAAAATCCCCTAAATGTCCCCAAAATATCCCCAAAAAATCCCATTCCTGTAGCCCAAACTATCCCCAAAATGTCCCCCAAAAATCTCATTTCTATACCCCAAAACATCCCCAAAATATCCCCAAAAAATCCCATTTCTATAGCCCAAAATCCCCTCTAAATATCCCAAAAAAATCCCATTCCTATAACCCAAAACACCCGCAAAATATCCCCAAAAATCCCGATTTTATAACCCAAAATGTCCCCAAAAAATCCCATTCCTATAGCCCAAAATCCCCTCTAAATATCCCAAAAAAATCCCATTCCTATGGCCCAAAATATTTCCAAAATGTCCCCAAAAAATCCCATTTTTATAGCCCCAAATATCCCCAAAAAATCCCATTTTATAACCCCAAATATCCCCAAAAAATCCCATTTTTATAACCCCAAATATCCCCAAAAAATCCCATTTTTATAGCCCCAAATCCCCCCAATTCTTCAATCACACCNCCCCCCCTATTTCCTCACCCCTGCTCCTCCATCAGCTCGGCCAGCTCCAGGCATTTCAGCTCCACCCTCCTCTTGCGCTGGTGGTCGAGGATGTCGGGGTTGGGTTTCTTGGCCAGGGCGGCCTCCAGGCGCCTCAGCTCCTCCTCGCCGGGGGGGGGATCCCCTCCCGCCCCCCCTTTTTTGGGCCGCAGGGCCGAGAGGTTGCGCTGCACGTAGCCGTTGGTGCCGCTGCCCCGCGGCGTCGGCAGCCCGATGCCATTGTACATGGTAGGGCTGGGGTAGGCCGCCGTCAGGGCCCCCCAAAAATCCCTTTTATACAGCCCGGACAGCCCCCAAAAAACCCCTTTTATATAGCCCAAAACGTCCCCAAAATATCCCTTTTATATAGCCCAGACAGCCCCCAAAAAATCCCGTTCCTATAGCCCAGACAGCCCCCAAAATGTCCCCCAAAAATCCCTTTTATACAGCCCAAAACATCCCCAAAATATCCCTTTTATATAGCCCAGACAGCCCCCAAAAAATCCCCTTCCTATAGCCCAGAATGTCCCCAAAATATCCCGTTCCTATAGCCCAAAATGTTCCCAAAAAATCCCTTTTATATAGCCCAAAATGTCCCCAAAATGTCCCAAAAAAATCCCTTTTATATAGCCCAAAACATCCCCAAAATATCCCTTTTATATAGCCCAAAATGTCCCCAAAAATCCCTTTTATATAGCCCAGATTGTCCCCAAAATGTCCCCAAAAAATCCCATTCCTATAGGCCAAACTATCCCTAAAATGTCCCCAAAAATCCCTGTTTTGTAGCCCAGACAGCCCCCAAAAAATCCCTTTTATATAGCCCAAAATGTCCCCAAAATGTCCCCAAAAAATCCCTGATTTATAGCCCAGACAGCCCCCAAAAAATCCCGTTCCTATAGCCCAGACAGCCCCCAAAATGTCCCCAAAAATCCCTTTTATACAGCCCAGAATGTCCCCAAAAAATCCCTTTTATATAGCCCAGAATGTTCCCAAAAAATCCCGTTCCTACAGCCCAAAATGTCCCCAAAAAATCCATTTTATATAGCCCAGACAGCCCCCAAAAAATCCCTTTTATATAGCCCAGAATGTCCCCAAAATGTCCCCAAAAAATCCCATTCCTATAGGCCAAAACATCCCGAAAATATCCCCCAAAAATCCCATTCCTATAGCCCACAATGTCCCCAAAAAATCCCTTTTATATAGCCCAAAATGTCCCCAAAATGTCCCCAAAAATCCCTTTTATATAGCCCAGAATGTCCCCAAAAATCTCTTTTATATAGCCCAGACAGCCCCCAAAAAATCCCATTTCTATAGCCCAAACTATCCCTAAAATGCCCCTAAAAATCCCATTCCTATAGCCCAAACTATCCCCAAAAGGTCCCCAAAAATCCCTGCTTTATAGCCCAAACAACCCCCAAAAAATCCCTTTTATGTAGCCCAGACAACCCCCAAAATGTCCCCAAAAATCCCTTTTATACAGCCCAGAATGTCCCCAAAAATCCCGTTCCTATAGCCCAGAATGTCCCCAAAAAATCCCTTTTATATAGCCCACAATGTCCCCAAAACGTCCCCAAAAAATCCCATTCCTATAGGCCAAAACATCCCGAAAATATCCCATTCCTATAGCCCCAACTATCCCCGAAATATCCCTAAAAAATCCTGTTCCTATAGCCCAAGTCATCCTCAAAACAATCTCGAAATATCCCCAAAAAAATCCCGTTCCTATAGCCCAAAACGTCCCCAAAATATCCCCCAAAAATCCCTTTTTTATAGCCCAAAATGTCCCCAAAATATCCCAAAAAAATCCCATTCCTATAGCCGAAAATATCCCATAAATATCCCCAAAATGTCCCCAAAGTATCCCGTTCCTATAGCCCAAAACATCCCCAAAATATCCCCCAAAAATCCCTTTTATATAGCCCAAAATGTCCCCAAAACACCCTCAAAAAATCCCGTTCCTATAGCCCAAAATGTCCCCAAAAATCCCTTTTATATAGCCCAGATACCCCCCAAAAATTTCTTTTTTATAGCCCAAAATGTCCCCAAAAATCCTCAAAAAATCCCATTTCTATAGCCCAAAATATCCCCAAAAAATCCCATTCCTATAGCCCAAAATGTCCCCAAAATATCCCCAAAAAATCCCATTCCTATAGCCCAAAATGTCCCCAA